GTCGAATACAAGTTACTTATACAGTTTAGAAAATACTGTCGAAGACATTTTTCACCAGGATCTTTATTCTCAGCCACTTGCATCTGTTAGCTCAATTGCAATAGTATACATTTAGCTTAACTCAACTACCACAACATTCAGCTCTAATTCTAAAACTGACAATTCTAGTTTAGATTTAAACTTAATGTTAATTTGTGATATCAAAATAAATTTAAGCGTCATTTGCTCGAGTGTCAACCCGGCAGTTGAAAGAGCCAATAATATTAACGAAATGTTGCTCAACTACTAAGTATGTTAATAGTATGGCGTTGTCTCTGACAATATCAGTGGAGAGTAACTCCCTAGGCCAGATACTTCGAGATAATTTGGCGCTTTTGTCTTTGTAATCGCTAGCGAATTAGATGACTGTCCCTTTTTATGCCCTTTGTAGGGGCCTGGGCCGAGGTTCTCTGAGGTAACACGATCTCACGAACAGTCCAGAAACGTGTTTCGAGTCGACGACCCACCCTTTCCCGTGGCGAGGGTTGGGTTATCTGAGTCCTCATGAGCTACGACTTTTGATCTAGCGGCAACTATTGTAGTTATAATCCACTTATACGATTTCATGTCGAACATACACAAACGAGTCAAGTCTTCTATTTGTCATTGGTGTGTTCCTTGCAGTTCGTGTAATTATTTGTTCAGGTCACGCAAACAATTTTAACTGGAATCACCCGTTCTGGTGTTTTCGGAGCAGGCCAAACACTTTGGCGTTTTTCTTGGGTTCATCATTTCTTGGCACATTCGATAGTATTAGGGATAGATATATGTATTACTTGAGATTTTAGGTGAGTGGCAAAATTTTCGATTCTCGTGGAGCAAGAAGCAGAAGATGAACAGGACTCACTTGAAAAAAAAGGTTTCTAAACAACTGTTAATTGCCGTATTTTTACAAAAGGGTCGTGACGGCGCATCATCGAAATCGAAACGTGGAGAGTCGGATTGACTTTCTCGAAAAACATAAAAGCCACTTTTCGAGTAGAGCCAGTGCACTGTGTTAGCCTTTGTATAAGGGGTAAGTTAACCGTAGACAATCCAGTGATCTCTATATCTGCTTTGTGAAATCAAGACTCGTAGTGCGAAAAAAACTCATATTCTGAGGCTCAGTAGTAAAATGAATTTGCCTTGCCCTTCAGCTCAGCCCGTATTAGTGAGTAAGTGAAGTATGTGACCTGACGGCACATGGGAGTACCCCCCGAGGTCGTTCAAATAGACCCAACACAACGGTACGGACAACAAATAGGAGCTGCTGCCTTTTTGCCCCCCCCCCCCCCCCCTTCCTTCATGCTCGCCGTGACTTCCTAATCACAAACTTTTCGGCCTGGTACGTGACACTCATATCGCGTGTTCTCAATATAGTTACATCAACGCACTTTCGCTATTTGAAGCACTCTCACGTATCACAAAACATCATCATACCATATGGACTCTTTGGAGGAAGCTTAGTCAGCTATTCGTTGGTGCGCCCATCTCAAACGAGAGCTCAGCTTTTACGACACTAAACCACTCTCTGATACAACACCAGAACGGCTCCAGATTTGATGAATATTGGAGACAACCTCCGTCGACTGCCGTGACGTGTCAGCTGTGAGAATATGGGTGTGATCAACAATAGACAGTTTCTAGCCACGTTCTTGCGGTACAAAGCTAGTTGATATGTATGACGAGAGTGCGTGTGATGGGGACCCCATACATTTTTTATGTATAGCTGACTTCTAGCCGTGCTTAATTAATAATGCTGGTTATATTTTGCTTTAACTCGACGTTTTCATGTTTTGAACTGTGAATCCAATATTGATTCAAACATTACAATTAGAAAGTGCCTTTTTTCCGTGTACTTTCACGTCGAAGTTGTTTATAGACCAGGTAACAGCTGTGTTTAAGTTCTGACAGTATTTAGTTCTTCCGCTTACCAAGCTCTATGTAACGTTCTATGTGCTCCGCACTTCTAATAGATTTCTGATTATAGCTTTTAGTACACGGGCACTATCAACCACATTTAACAGCAAAAAAATCTCGACAAATCATTGAGAAAAGTTGGTTTAAATACTCGATAAATCTGACTGTTTAATTACCATTATATTATAGTACCCAGCCCAGAGACACACAGCGTAGGATAAATGAATTACACCTTTCGATGTTCGTGGTCGCTGTCAACGAGAAAGATAAACAAACGACACATTTTTTTGCTTGGCCTATATTCTCACATGTCACAGCCTTGCAGAGCAAGTATAAAGCCATCGGTGACGCAATATAACACAACATAGGAATTCTGTTGTGCTGCTCGATTGTCGTATTTTAGGACATTTTCATGTGCAATCTATCTAGCTAATGTAGGACCGCAATCGATTCAGTTATCTTGCCGCGATCAGGCTTGTCCCATTAAATTAAAAATTGTGTTAGCTGTCGAGCATGGATATATTATATATACTACGAGACTTCAGCTTGCAGCGTGATCGATGGACCACTGGACATTGGATGCATACGATGACGCATAGGGCTTTTAGATACTCAACAGAATATGAGATCTAGTGGAAGAAGCCATATATAAAACTAAAGCCATTTACATATATGCACAGCCTTAATTTGAAGTAATTAATTTTTGTGGCACATTCGTTTTCCTTTAGAATTTAGAAATTAAACAAGGGCTTCAAACAAATACAAGAACTGTTACCTATTGATAGGTGTCTTGAATGACCCCCCTGATCAGAAGGTGGTCATACTTTTCGGATAGAATCTCAACAGTAGGGTTATGGCGTGAAATTACCCAATATGTTGGGGAAAAAATTTACGTTTTTTTTTCGAAAAAAAACTTGCTATACTGATTAAGGTTTCTGAATTCTTTAGACGTTGTATTTTCTCAATCACATTTATTAATTAAATGTCCTTTGCTGCGAATTCACATTTTTCGTGCAATAAAACCATGCAAAAAGCCCACCTCTTCAAAGCACCGAATTCGAATCAGAATCGGCTTACGTCTTAAAGTGGACGTAAGCTTTAATAATAGAAGGGTCAGCTAAGCCTACTTTTTCTCTGGAATGAAATACGTCTAATGCAAATCAAGACGTGCAAAGCTCTGCCGTTTACAGGAGTAAAAGACATAGTCATAACACATAGATGGGGTTAGGTTATAAAGGGGGCGGTCTGTTAAATCAGAGACATATATCGAGATATATTCAGGTCTGAGGTGTTTAATGTACAAAAAAAATTGTAAAAACTATTAAACGACACTCTAATTGTAATATAATCAATATAAAGGTCTGGTCTAAAGCATACTCTAAAAGAATGACTATTTAAGTATTATATAAAGTAGAATCGTGGTTATGATATGAAATAGTATGACAGCGACCCATTATATGTGTATAACCCTACTTTGGTTGGTCAGTACAGTCCATCGAGGCGATCCTAAGAATAGGCCTTTAGTGGTGAACGTAGGTGCTGAAAGGCAACAAACGTATGACGTTCATTTTCACTCCACATTATAGAGCCCACTGCTGCCTATTATTTAATGATCAGCTCTTTATAGAAGTACGTTAGGTTTAAGCAACGTCAAGTCGGTCCATATAAGTGGAACGACATTAATGTTTGACGTTAATTTGGATTGCCTCAATAGGTTATTGACTCGGGGCTGAAACATATAAGAGAAATATTTCAGCTGTTTCCGTTAAATCTTCTCTGAAGGCTCGCTTCCTTCCTGCTTGAATATAAAAACTAAAACGAGAGAACGAGTTCGATAAAATGCGAAGTGACCGGGACACCGGATGGAGAGTTTACCACTTAAATTAATTTCCACCCGGAGATTAGAAGTTTCGTGACAAAAGATATTAATGTACTTCATTAAGAATATTTGTAAAAAGTAAGTTAGACATAGGTACACATACATACACACATTTAAACGCTTAGCTTTCCTGGCAATTTGACTATGCTCAAAACTCAGAAATATCCCGGTATTTACCAAACCGAGCGTGACCTTTGTCACGTTGGTAATTAAGTAAATGTTATCGTCAGCCTTATTTATTTATTTATTAAGTATAGTGGTAAAAATTGACAGCCTCAAAGTGGATCGAGGCTTTTGTGAAAGCGATCTCAACAAAGATTCATAGAGAGCTTACTTAAAATACCGCTCGTTAGTACGATATACAGCTGGCTGTTTGAGCTTTTTCTACTTTGGAAACTTCTTTTCAAGCTAATTTTGCATCTTATGTTTTAAATTGGCATATACATTTGTCAACTGATATGAGGACTACAATGGTTCTCTAGGACACAAAAATTCGTATATTCTATTTGATCTAGGGATTCACCACCGTACCACCAGTTCGCTTCTGCGTATACGTAAGGAATAGAAAATAACTTCCTTACATCTAACCACTGAAGAGGTGTGTCGAAATAAAATCATAATCTGAAGAGTTTCCATCACTGAACCCCCAAATAAATCTTAAGACTCTAAAAAGTTCAGATATGTACATGTATATACATATAAAGCCTTCGTAGTATTTTCAGTTCTTGAAGCAATGTTAAACGGTGGTAAAATAACACTCAGGCTTCCAACATATCTACACGTTTATAGGAGACAAACGGCGTATTAACACACCACATCTTAAAGTCATTAAAAAGCCTTAGTGTTAAAGCACCGCACTGCATTGATCACACCTAGGGACATTCTACGGCCCTATTTCTGTATGAGTAGATGTCTTCAAACAACATTTGGTTCAAATGTGTAAATGTAACAACTATGTTAGTCTACTGTCTTATGTTTCAGCTGAAAAACACCACTTCGTGAAAATGGCACTCTTTTGTGCATTGCTTTTAAAATAACAAGAACATTTTGGGCAACACTAAAGAGATAAACGACATCTAACATTAATGTGTTTTCTTCTAACTGAGCGTTCATTTGGGTCTTTGTGATTGGGCCTGTTTTTGCTTTTGCTCAACTTTCAGAAGCTGGGCCGTGGTGCGCCAAAACTTCCGTTCCGGAGGCGATTACCTCCACTGGTGCCTCCCGAACCCCCTCGGAGCTTTGAGATCATCTCGTTGTTGCCGCCGGCTGCACCTTTCACCACCGGCCAACAACTTCGGTACTCCTACCACCTGGCAAGATGTGAACCCACAGCTAGTCATGCACCGCCCAAAATTCAGGTGTCTATGAGAGCAATGCAGACGCCACTGCTCAGTCCCCAGCCCTCCGTGAGGGCCGAATAGCCGAGGGAAGCGTAAAAAAGACCAGCTAGAAGGGCTCGCGCGCTCTCGTATTTCGTCAACAACGATAACAACTACAACGTTCACAGTTACAACTGTGGCATTCCGAATTGATTTGAAAGACTTTTAATCGATGGTCTATCGGCATCGGTATTAATACCACAAGAAGCTTGTGATCTCAACGTACCAGCCGTATGTATGTGTCCCATTGACAGTGTGCGACTAGTCAACGACGCAAGTACTTCGGCAACGATGTCCGATAAGAACGCAACGATCGGCTGCTGCCGAGCCGGCGTCTGACGTCGTCACGCATCTTCGCCGTACCACAACGGTCTGTCACACGCTGTCCGCCCTGTGGGCACGGATGCGGCGTAAGGCAACCACGGCACCGGGCACCTTGGCACAGCGCGGTATGGGCTGCGGCAGCTCTCAGGCCGCCGTTTCGTCCGCCGCCAAAGGCTGGGTTATTCAGCAATTAAAAGAGCACACAGGCCCGATAAATTGTTCAGCATTGAGCGAAGACGAAAGCCTGCTCATTACGGGCAGTGAAGACCGCACCGTCAAAATGTGGTCCACACAAAGTGAGCCCGTCGAGCTACTCGGTTCGTATAGAAACCTTTTCGACATACATTAAAAACGTTTTTCTATTTTCACAGAACTAGTGGTTAGTTGACGCTTCGCTTGTGTGTGTGTGTGTGTGTGTGTGTGTGTATGTATGTATGTTAGGACGAAGCAATTTTATAGGTGGGTATAAATTTACAATCTTCATTCTAAATATATGGTTTGATCTCGTTAACACGTGGTGTTTGTTGCATCCGCTATAGTTCATTAATCGCCACATCGATGATATTGAGGTGCAGGCGGTTCGGTTTTTTTTTGATACCTCCTCTCATTGCCCAACAATTAGAGGGTTATATAGTTATGGCGGATTGTACTGTTTCGGGCATTGGCTGTTTATAAATGTTGGTACATAGATGTAACGAAGCTGTTAAGCTATCCTGAAAAAAAAATATAGCTTAATTCTATTTACTCTCGATTTACACTAACGTATAATTATTATTGATATTTTATATTCAAGGACTCGTCTCAAAAATAGCTTTAGATATTGATGGTACCAACTGGATATATGACGAAAAGGGTACTTCCAAGTACATACAACAAGGTAAAGCATTATTACGCACCAAAGCAAAACAAAGCTAATTCGACTAACATTGGTCATTCTGTTAATCAAATGATTTACTATTAGCAAAAAATTAGTTATTTTTTCTGTATCGTAATTTATTAGGGGTGTTGTTACAGCCATCTTAAAAATGTCTGCCATAGCAGGGAAGTTCGATAGCGTTTACTTCCGATAGAAAAGCAGGTTAACATTGAAGTCTATCAGTCGATCATTTCCTCTTTCAGCAAATGTTTTTCGATAAATCTTATTGATATAGCAAATTTTATCTTCTGTGGAAATACTTGTACGTATAATCATATGGTTGTTTGGTAATAAGCTCTGATGCACACGTGGGTCAATTATTAATTCAATCGCTAATGTTTATTTATTTGCACTGGTGCTGTATCTTCGTCTGTTTTGAACTCTTGCGGAGATCGACCCAAATTATGGAAATCTATTAGATCTCGGTCAAAAGCCGGTCGGCTTTTGAATGAATTCCGATGATGAAGCCGATTTTAACCCACACGTGTGGACTTATTCAGTTCACAATATTTTGCCCATCTTTTACATATGCCATACTCAATGCAGTTACGTAGCTCAAGGATAATAGGGTAAAACGAAGTATCAGAGTCTAAACTGGAATTTCGATACTAAAAAGTGGGCCGCTAATATGATTCGATCTTCCAATTTAATATTCTATCGCACTTCATGAAATCGGAGACAAAAATCTTCTTAGATTAGTTAGTACAAGTAAATCTGTTTTACGCAAGACATTTTCTTATTTTCCACACTTATATATTTTACACACTTATTGCGATACCGTGTGGTCTATTTATCAGTTCGGCAAATTTCATCGCCCTAAAAACCGGGACTCAGGAAGTGCAAAACTATCTAAAATCTAATATTCCTATTACAGATGTGATGATTTTAGAACCTACATTTTACGTTGATCATGTAGCCAATTAAGAGCTTTCTAGGATACTGCAGTGATTTTGGATTTTTCAGCTGCAGATGTTGTTATAGAGTGAGAAATCCTTCGCGATTTGTTGTCTGAATTGGTTCTCACGTAGCTGTTCCGTTTCAAATTTGAAATAGTATCTTGGATATTCAAAATAGTCTTTGGATACAAAATATCCCGATGAACAAAAGCGGTTCCTACAAATATTATTACAGGCACTCTGGTAGGTCACACGTCGTATATTACGCAATGTAGCGTGCACGGCAGCTTCGTGGTGAGTGCGTCGGCGGACGGCACGCTGAAAAAATGGAACATTTCAGACGCTTCATGTGTATTTACCTTTCACGGACATACCGCACGCATTAATAGGTAAGTACGGGCTCGAACTTGCGAAGCACACCGATATATATATATATTCAATAAATATATATATATATATATCATTTTTGAAGTATGTGACTTTCTCCACATTAGGTTTTAATTTAATTGTTGTTTTGTAGATGGTGCCTGTTTTAGGAGATAAATTAGTTCATGTAGATTAAAACAGGTAAAGCAAACGTATTTCCGTATTCACACATGAGTTAGAATAGACCTGCACGAAGCAGGGGTTCAAAACAACAGTCCTTGAAATTCCGGATCACAGCTTCAGTTACATGCAACCCTAAATATTTTCTTTGGTTGTAATACCTCTGTAGAAACATACATAATGTACAGATCGTGTGGCACGCGGCTTCACGACGCTTTATAGGTATCCAAGTAAAGTATGCGAGCAAAAGACAGATCCATAGCATCCGAATAGTACTTCAAATAGTGCAGTTCAAAGAACGTTACTTTTGGACCACTTTGAACCTCGTACACTCTACTGTATGTGAACGTAGGGCCCAGAGTACCCAACTCAACAGCAAATAAGAGCATAAATGCAGCATTATGGATGGTAAAATTCCTTAAAAAAACCTATTACTATCCATGATTTGTCCCACTTATACCTTTTTCCATTCCATAGTTCGCGTTGTGTAGTTATGTTGATCGGAAGGTTCGAGTTCCTTACGTATACTTATTGTTCAGCTAAGGAAAATCAGACTTCATCGTAACAACTCTTCGCTGTCAGAGGACCTGTTTATGAATCCACCCTTTAGTGATAACTATCACTTGGACATCCGTACACGAAGTTGACAATACAATTGGTAAAATTTTTCCAAAGTACACTGAACCCTCAAAAATGCAGAAACCTCTATCAAACGCGGAGCATACTGCTACATAAAGGAACGCCCTTTCTGATTCAGCCAATAACGCTAAGGTGAGCTAAATTTAAAAGGAGATTGATCCGCAATCGATATATTAATGAGGACTAGCATAGCAACAGTCGAAAGTGTTCTCCCCAGGTAGTATTGCAGTCCCTTGCCTGACCAGAGACCCCCATCTAAACCATGAGCCTGATTAGACAGCGGGTATTGGCAAGCCGGTGGGATGCACGTAAAATCATAAGAGCGAGCACGATTAGACATCTAAGTGCAAACTTGTTTAGTGAGAATAATGGCTCTAGAAATTAGTGTGATTGATTAAAGGGATTGATTAAAGAGATGTCAAATGTAGGCTTAAGGTGCTCTGACGAAGTCACTAGGTTCGAACCCAAATGTGCACGGACTTCTTTTTGTGTCGGAAGCTGGTCGTCTGATGGAATACCTAATGGTGACAGCGCGTTTAAATCTCGAGACGATGGGACATGGGTGGACGATTAGAAAATTAAATGAAGCGAATAATTCCATCGTTAATTGCATTCGATGGGTAAGGACGGGGTTTGAAGAGAAAGTACAAACAAGTCTCAACAGTTCGATCTAGTCTATATATATATATATATATATATATATATATATATAAGATCGTGTCCGCTTAGGTAAGCATGTTCTTGAGGCTACCGAGAAAAGCTTTATAGAATTTTTTTTTGAAGCTTCATACAAGGTTATCTCCATGCTATATTGTTATTGAACGCATCAGTATTTCTAGTGTTATAACTAGACGTCTTGATATTTTTAATTCTCTCAATTTAAAGTATGAAAGCTGTCACTGAAAACAATAGAGTAGAGTTTTGCAAGAGACCTACACGATGTCGAATGGAAAATGTATTAGAACATAGAAAGCGGTTATCTTTGCTCACTTATTAATAACGTATATATTAACAACCTGATATATTACATTTCCTCTCAACTGCAAAAAAAATTATTTTTTATTGTACAATCAGAATAATATAGTTTACCTGCTGGTTGTTCATAAGCTTATTGAGCCGCACACTATGCACGCTGCACAAATGTATGAGGCTTACGCTTAACATTTTATTCATTATAATATAGCCTTAAAACATCACTACGGCGCTTAATATATATGTACACCACGTGTTTCTGTTCGTCTCACTTCTCTTGTATCGTATAAAATTCGATTTACTATCTAATTTGAATTTTCCGCCAGTATCGTGCGATTTCTCTCACTGATTGTCGGTTCATTTTTGCTGTGACGTCTGCTTCATGACAGAATCGTCTGTAATGGAAATTTTATCGTTTCGACATCGATGGATAAAACCGTCCGCATATGGCACTTCCACGCGGAAAAATTATCACCACCGAATCCACTTGAAGATATACCAGACGAAATTGCTGGCCCTCAATTAGTAGACGAAGAATTTGAGTATAACGAGCAAAGTAATCTCGATCTTATCGAAGCGGCCATCCTTGCCCGAAGACTTTCCATGCTATCGACTTCGCTCAGAGACGATACGATCACTGCCAAGTGAGTCTCTTCGAAGCCAAACGGAAGAAAACGTTATAAAACTATAATAATAATGTCTGCCGGACCTTGAGCAGTTTTGGAGAAGTGGAGAGATACTTGACTTCAACTATTATATTAAGGTCAGCTTCAGTAAGACACGGGTTTCTACCGTCGATTTTAGAAATATCGGGTTTCAGTTCTTTTGGATTTTTTTTTTTGTAAACCACTCGTGTGTGTACAAAATCAAGGATTGATATTGATGTGTAACTTTTCACGGGTTCTTGCGTCAGACATCGCGGATCAATGATGTCAGGACACGCAACGTTTACGTCTTACAGCGACCCCTCTCAACAGTCATTTGAGGAAATTCAGAGTCAAAGAAAGAAGAGCAAACGTAAGGAGTGCATACAAGTCCTTAAGGTAAGCGCAGCTATTTTCCTTTGCTTCAAATTAAACATACATACAGAAATGTAAATGCCTTCACAATGTCGCATAAATTGCCTCACCTAATAATAACGCGTCTATAACGATCGAAATACTGTAATAAACTCTTTACTTTAAATAAATTCAGTTAGCTTAATAAACCATACACTTATTAAAGTAAAGATGAACCTTAGTCAATAAATTATAAATCAATAGAAGTAGAAAGAGATAGTGTGTTGAACTATCTACATAATATAATACATGTACTGTAATATTCTAAATCAAAATAATAAAGCATTCAATTAACTTGTAGTCTGTAACCAACGAAGGCTTGATCAACCACCCTATCCCCACAAAACATCGCCTCGGTAGACTGACTTCTACAAGTCTCGAAAGTATCCTGATGTCGTCAGACATGGCTCGCTTGGGATAGAATTTGATCTGACAGCCATATACGATGATTGGCAATGATAAATAATTCCGTATTCGAAAGCTTTCACGCCTCCTTAAGCCTCGTTTTGGGGGGTTTTTCTCATCTGCATCGTTAATGTGGGTGTATTGGAAGGATAACTGACACAGGTAGCGCCAATAAATGGCTTGCCTGGGTCATTTTTTAGACTCAATTGTCCATCTAATCACACCGTCCTGCAGGTATTAGCACGGTGATTTCAACTATATAGAAAAATAGTTAAATGCATATTAATGTCGCCTTGCTAACAAAACCGTTGAGATAGTAATTGACTATGCGGGTTCCTTGCACGGTTTGTATTAGCACAAGTTATATAATGCAGCTATCGAACTTTCGTAAAGTATACTCAGACTATACTAAAAATGTAGATTTATTCAGGTATTTCTGAGTTAACTGGCCTAATATTTTTGTTAAACACGATACGCAGAAGTGATGCAGGCGTCTTCAAACCTGGCAAGTCGAATTCGAACAAAAAAAGGTAACTCTAAGCCTTTAAAATACAGAAAATGACCAGCGAAGCAGACGGGTCCCCATTTCTCAATGGGGATTATTAAAAGATCCATACAATATGTCGGCAGTTGACTGCTGGGAAAATAGTTACACGTCCGAAACTCTACGATAATAATGTGAAAAGGTCTTTTTTTTTTCATACTTAACACAAACAGGTTTTGCAGAATTTGAAATCTTACCAGCAGAGTTATATCAGAAGGTTTCTACGTTTCAACAGGGCCACTTAAAAGGAGTCTTTCCTGTGCTTTACATTCCTTTCGAACGAGAAAGTCCAATCGATGAAAGCAACGGCAACGGGCCATCTAACCAAGAGAATCCCCAAAATGATCATGATGTTGACGGTGATGCGTTCGGGCCACAGGGAGATCTTATCGTGACTGGGAGCTTCGATTGTTCAGCGCGTAGCTGGGATTTGCTCTCTGGACGATGTCTTAAGGTAAAACATTTATACATGACCCTAATAAAGACTTATCCTATCTTCAAGATATCTCGATGAAGTGCATACAAAAATGGAAACTACACACAGCCTCTTCTTCAAAAGGTTTCAACGATTTTGGAAAGAATCACTGTTGCTTATTTCTATCTTTTGTTAAACTTCAATATTCATAAATAAGTATCGAAGGCTCAACATCACTTGTTGGAATCGGACCCTGTCAAAGCTTTCAATTTGTAGCGCGATTATTTGGAGTATGATCTTGGAATCAAAAGAACCGCCAGTTTACATTTGGTTTATATTTGGCCTGTACAAGCGATTTTAGCGCCTAAATACATTTCGAATTCGTCTTTGACTTATCAGATATCCTAAAAGGATTCCGGAAATGTAAGATTAGAAACTCATGTTTACCAACATTGTAAGCTAAAATTTCCTTACGATTCCAGCTTGGTTTTAGAGGCTTGAATAAGTTTAAAATCAAAATTAGTAGGAGTTCATGTTACGTAACCGAATGAACTTCGATCGTCTAGTTCTGAACGAGCCGTCATCTGTGTGATGTGAGCGTTTCATCGGTATGAACTCTATTCGCCTATGAAACAAGCAGGTAGTAATTTGGTGGCCAGTTGTCAATTTTACTGTAGTTGAAATCATGTAACCTCGTCACACTTATGACCTACATAAATTACGTTAGTCGTTCAACAGTGACATGCATGTTGGGTCAGACGGACCTTACATACCGGTTTTATTCTTAGGCCCAAATGCTTGCCCCTTACCGGCTGCCCCACGCGTATCTCAGCACACGAATTGCTTTGTATGATCACCTGTGAGTGCATCTAGTCAGCTTGAAAAAAATATAGAATTGTCACTTTTTCCATAGCGGCGAAATACTTTGACCCTTGCCTCGAATAATCGAAAATTTTCTCACAGTCTTAATCTCAATTAATTTATCCTAATTGACCAACACTAAATACGGACGCAACGTCCATTTTCGCTCATTCTCCCGCTGGTTGCACCCCAGGTGAAGACCCCACCTTTCGCCCTCCCCAGAACAAGGTCCGATGCGGCGGCATGCTAGACACGTGCAGCTTAATTGTTCATTTGCCCACTACCGAACAAGGAAATTACAGCCATCAGCTCTTAACCTCTCCTGAAATGAATCCTGCGTTTCGACGGTCGGGATGTTTGGGCCGAACCCACTTTTCCCCTAAAATTTGAGGTCAAACGATACGCCTCAGAAGCTCTGTCTACGTGATACTTCGTACGAACGAACTGTTTGTTCCATATAAACTACTAGTGGTAAGCCATCTACCACTGTGGGTGTACAGAGGGTTGTATCACCCGGAAGTTATTGTCGAAGAGCACCACTGTTTGTATGTGCGAGATATTTCGCTTGTGTATCCACGTTTAGAATACTGTTACCTATAGAGATGATACTGTTCGATCCATGGAAAAGCAATGATATAGCAATCTAGTTGGGTCTGGCTCACTGACTACTGTGAGTGTTAATGATTATTTGACGTAATTATATGTCATATCACGTCTCTATGCGTTTTAGTTGCCGTGCTATGTGACAGGCACGCCTTATCGAACATATCGTGTTAATAAATAACAAGCAAGCTGCTATGCACGCCCTCAATAAGACAGCCGCGCTTTGTAAGACTGCTATATATTCTGGCAGTAAAACAATTCGAAACCAAATTGTAGACCCTCTAAATTTAAGGGAAATAGAACATACATGTATGTAATCCGTGTATATATATATATATTGCCTATTACAGGTATTTAAAGGTCATACGCAGGCAGTTAATGATTTGGCAGTAGATCCTGGCGCAGAATATCTCTTTACAGCTGGGGGCGATGGCACTGTGCGACAATGGATATTGGGAACTGGTGAATGTAAGCGTATCCTAACTGGGCACCAGGGACCTGTCGTAAGCCTTATCGTAAGTACTCTTTTGCCATTGTACCTTCTTTTTAATTTTTTACTATCCGAATCATTTGTTTTCTCGATTAATTATATTAGCACCTATGTACAGTGATGTTAAGGCTTTAAAATGTTCGATGCAGTACTCGATTTTTTTCGAAATTTTCCAACATTATTGACAAACGTAATGGCAGAAGATCATAAACAGAATCAATATTATGGAACGCTCGAACGCATAGAAGCGATACATTTTGAAAAAACGTACAAACTAATATAAGCAAAAGGAGGCATGTGTTTGTTGTAAGGTTACATCATTATGATTATTATGATTACAGACCCATTCAAAAATGTTGTATTCCGCTAGCGCGGACGGGACGGCACGCTCCTGGGTGATGGAGTTTGGCGAGTCGACCAGAGTCTATCGAGGCGCTTTGAAGACCATCGAATCTCTACGTTATTATGACCGCATGTGTGCGTGAGCTCTAATACTTTTTCTTAACAAATACTTCTCTATTTTATTGATTTCACAGTATATTTATAGGGAGTCTTGTTTCGGTAATGGTTCAGCTAATCCTGGATCAGCTAGAACCATTACCGAAACATCTAGACACCGTGTCCAAGAAGCTGCTGTTTCTAGTGGATCATCCGTGTACGTACATGCTTATTCAATGAGCTATAATATAATTTAAGGATGTCTTGGTAACGAAACTAACGAAGAGATACATTACCTTGCATTTACAGTGTTCACCGGTTCAGGAGATGCTATGGCGCGGATGTATGAGGCAAAATCAGGCAGCCATAAAAGATCCTTTCGAGGACATGAAAAAAACATAACCTGCATGGAGGCGAGTCAAGATAAAAATATTTTACAGTAATAACCAAAGTTTGTTGTTGATCTTTTTTATCTTGTTGTTGGTCTTGTTTGCACGAATTATAGGAAATGCTTACTGGTTTAATAATTCTTTTAATGCTTTTATTGTTAAGATATTACAATGCAGCGGTCCGTAGATGCAATATAACGAAACAACTGTATGTGATCTGATTAATTGTAAATAATATATCAATCTTCGGGACATTTTAGCTTAACACTTTGTTGGCTGACTTTCGGCCTGGAGTATTTAAAAATTTCCGGTTCTCGAGTGCTTTTGGCCTACTCACAGAGGCGGTGAGCGCATTGGGCCACGTGATCTCCAAATAAGCAAGAGAGTTTCATAACTAAAATAAAAAATTCCAACTGCTCCCAATCAACTGCACGACCTATCATCTCAGTACTGTTAATTCAAATTTGTAATTATATTCTAGGCGACTCGAGGTCGTCTCTTCACGGGTTCGTATGACGGAATGCTGATCGTGTGGGACACAACGGGCGTTATCGATGAGACGGTTTTCGGGGTTGATGAAGAGTCCGAGAACAGTGACGAAGACGAAGACGATGTCAACGTGCAGAAAGCTATGAAAATACTTGACGGTTTCGTACATGGCACGTAGCACTAACGTACATACGACCGTCCAGCGCACAACCACCAAACGGCGATTATGAATCGTGTCGAGAAACGAGGAGTCTTGCGAGAAGGCATGAATAATGCTATACTGAACGAGAATAACAATACGGTGCTGACTGCAGACAGGAAATCCTTCATGTTGTACCCAAATAACGTTAACGTTAATCTCATTGATGAGGAAGGCGGTCTGCACTTAGCACGCGTCTCGGCAACTAAAAGAAATTCTAAAGAATGATATAGATATATTAATTGCTTCATTATAGCAAGTTGAAAGTCGTCTATACTAGTAGGGAATTTTTTGGGTCGGCTTGCGTCGCGCAGGTGACTGTAACCTCATTATCGAGAAATGCTCGTTGATTCAGTTTGCAAGGTGTTCATAAAAAAGAATGCAATGTAATTACGTATGTACCATAAAGAGCTGCGCAGCACTGCTATACAGAAGGACATGTTAATTCAAAATAGAGCTGTCGTATCGTCCGGCGACAGGCCATTTTTAAGGCAAGGAGAGGATTACCTACTGATATATCTAAAAAGACATTGAAACGCGTAAGCTACATCTCGACATTTTGCGTCCTTCTCACTGCGGGGGTAACATTTCTCCACCGAGATCACGTCTTCAAATCCCAATATTGAAAAAAGCGATTGATTGGTAGATGTAATGCGTTATTCTAACCCTCTATTATTAAAAGCATCGTTTCACGGCAATCTGTGAAAATTTATATTTGGCACCTGAACAATCTAGCGCTTGGCTAATTATGATTCCGGAGCAAAGATGTGATGAGTATAGAAGAGGATTACGCGATGATCAATAGTAAACATACAGTAGGGGTCTAACAGAACGTTATTATAGGTCCTTTCTCCGCCAGCTGTCCCCAGGCCTTAAAGATAAATGGTATTGGCTCGCTCTGATAAATTTTAGCATTAGTTGAGGATAAATTTAGGAACGTCTCTATAATAACGAGCTGCACGTGTTATTTTTGATGATGAAAAACGAGCAATTATCGCAGCTAACCTTTTCACGATTTTAAGCAATATGGAAACTGAGTCGGTGTGCAGGCAATACGTGAAATGCACGACAACTTCTAGCAGGTGAGCTTCAGAAGCGAGGAAAGCAAGCGGCGTTGGGTTTGTGTTAAATGTCACAAACATATCGGTTATAATTCCTATTTGTAGGCGGCTTCAGCCTCATTCAGATATTGTCAGTTCAGCTCTGATGACTTATAGTCGATCCGAAACGTATACCCAGGCCGAATCGTTAGGCCACCATGCGTTCTGGAGCCTACGATTACAACACGATTGCGTACACGCAAGGTTTCCTCTAACGTCGTGTTTGCCTTGAGGCTTGACTCGCTGAAACATTTAAAATATGGCCACACTCTATCCAGTTTAGAGTTCGTCTGGACGTTGGTGACAGTGCAAGCATGATAGCAGATATCGTTAGAAGAAAATAGAACCGCTCTGTTTGATCACTGTGAAGCTACCTAAACATTAACAAGAATATAAAAGTATTAGTCCTATTGCCATTCGATGCTATTGTACATCATTCATTTAGTACATTTATAGAATTACTGAGAAAGCAGTTATTCCATAATCATGTGCGGTCCTATAAGTGAATAAGGTATTCGGTATTTTTTTACATAACGAATTTTCGGATATTTTTGTAAAATCTACAATAGGGGAAATACGTTATACGGAGCACAAAATAGAAGACCGATCAAAATTATGAAACTACTGTATATTCTATTGTAACATAACAATGATATATTAAAAGCTGCATGAGTAAACGTGAGCAATTTGTGCTAAAATGAATAAAAACACTCAGTGATATATGCTAATAAAAACAAGGAACAGCTGTGAGACGTTAGATATATACAGGATCAGCTGCATCATGTCTCGTCACGGCAGAATGTTGTGCCTGCTAAATGCTCAGGTTAACCGGATAGTGGATTTTTATTTATACAATTTAAAGTTGAATTCACTTAATCATGACAGCTAAACTATACAGAAAATGGATCCTCGTTGACTCGATCGCTTTCCTTTTACTAAATTTGCTAGCATTCGCCATTTTCGTTTTCGGTCCTCTGACAGCGACACCCGTCAATAAATCTTTTCCATTCAGAAGAGCCGGGAGCGAAAACACCACATTCGGTTATTATTCCGCCTACAAAAAACAATTTGCATAAATTAAGACTAGTAAGGGCTCACCTTGTCGAGTTTAGTATAAACAAAAATGTGAACGCATATTAAATCTGTGAAGGTCCGTGCCCTTGACGACGTTTACTACACAGTTCACATTAATCGCCCAGACTATAGCAGCAACGACAAAATCAGAAATACATTTTAGTTTCAACTACCTGTGATTAGCGTGTGAGAAGTAATGTCGAAGGCAGGGTTCCAACAAGGAATATCAGTTCTTGTTGTAATTTCTCGTCCTGGCCGTTCCTCAATTGGAATTTCATCTCCTGACCTCATGGTAGGATCAACCGTCGTTGATGGACAGGCCACATAAAAAGGAACTTCATGGTACTTCGCCACAATCGCCGCCTAAGTATATTACAGATATTTAAGTTCTATTTTGGTCCTTAAACAGATGATCCCAATAGTACGTATCAATGTCAAACATACAGTATTCAGTTAGCTTATTTCTCTGTTCAGTCTTGGAACTTGCCATCCGTCTGGCAATTGCGATTCCTAATTTTCTTCCTCCTTCCTTCCTTCCTTCCTTCTTCCCTTTCTTTTCCTGAATTTTTTTTCTGTTATACGTTTCTGTTACATACGAGCCACACCGGAAAGAACGGTCAGAAGAAGAAGAAGATCACAGATTGCGCAACTTGCTTAAGTAGGTTGAAAAATACGCCGAGGAAAAAGTCTTACCTGATAGGTACCAATCTTATTGGCCGTATCCCCATTGGCAGCAACTCGGTCTGCCCCCACTATCACCGCATTAATATTTTTCCTTTTCATGAGAAATGACACCATATTATCACAGATCATCGTTGCTGGCATCTTCTCTGTCATCTGTTTCAGGGCAATGCAAGATAACATAGGCTATTATGCCGGCCAAGGTGACAATCGAAATGACTGTTGTTTAACTTAATAAAATGAACACTCGACAACAAGACGCTACATGTAAAATAATCATCTCATCATGAAATAGTCTTACCCAACATCAACGAAGAACAGGTACTATAGATATGTGATAATGTCTTATAGCGTTCAGGTTAATTACATATGGAAAATTAATATTGCGGAACAACTCGTGGTCACACCAGTTCGTACGCCGTGAGCCTTTCTCCCTGGTTGTAGGGCCTCGTTTCAGTGCAGATAACCTCTTCCAGTCGACCGGCTTCGTGTAGGCTGCGAATGACTCCCAACGCTGTGCCATATCCTGCCGTAGCTAAACTACCCGTATTGCAGACTGTCAGAACAGTCACCTATGGGGCATAGCATAAAGACGCGAAAACACTGTTACACGTTAGGTCCTTATTCTTTCTGGTTCGATTTGACCAACACAAAAACATAAGACGTGAGATAAAGAATTTACATTTAGTCCCCTTGATGCCATGTGGAACTTTACACAAATGTTAACTGTCCACTTGGGAACGAACTTGCTACTAACTTTATCACTTGGCTTGAGCCCGCGAAGGATAAATTCAGCACCGTGCTTTCCAATGTGCCTATTGGTTTGTACATCCTTTTCGAACATTTTTTCAGCTGCTTCGATAATCCGTAGTTTGTGAGCTTGGCCATCCACCGCTGGGTCCTCCAATAAACGAGAGCTTAACACCTGTGACGAGCAATTTTTTTCATAAAGGCACACATCGTATTGTGATTTGGAACGTAGTATTATCATAGTTAATCGTTTATCCTGCTATAATAGCTTTCAGAAATCTTTCTGAATGTTAGTGATAAAATTCATTTTCAACTTGTTGCCACATTGTATGCCAACGTTAGCGAACCTGCCTACTTCAAAGTATGCACACGCCGCGATGTGGGAAGACGCCATCGTACCTGGAGTAGATAGTCGCTCTAGCACAACCAAACGGCTTAACACACAATTTTCTATAACAGATACCCTTGAATAAAAAATAGTGAGACTAACCTTAAATTGTTGGGCGGCGTTTCGCATGTTGACAGCCGTAGGCCTACTGGTAACCAAGTAGTCAAGCCAATTGGAGATATTCTCATGAATCTCTTTTTTGTCCATACTAGCAAAACGGTTCAGTTCGATCGCGACACTCAAAATGCCCACAATAGCTATCGCAGGGGCACCGCGCACCTAGTAAAACCAAGTTTTCAATAGCTAAATAGCTTCACCGAACAACCTTATAGTCGAGTTGTTAATTTTTTTTTTCCAATAAATGTATATCTTTCTTGATGCAGGCAATGTATTTAGTGCAGGTCATAGGTCTTTCATTAAAAATGTTATTTAGTTTACTGAAAATGCGGCTAGCTAGATAGTAGTTATGTGTGCTGACGTTGATCATAGATAAACATTACATGGGTCTCGGTGTTATTCGTCTTGCTTTATGATGTAATAGATTTATTTTTATTGAATAGGAACTACTTGATCATTGTGATCTAGCTTATGCTCGTCAACTATAATATGATACGGTCGTACATAATACCTGCATAGTCTGAATAGCTTTCCAGGCATCCTGGGTCGTGGCGATGGGAAGAACGCGACTTTCTTCAGGTAGTAATAGCTGGTCTAGTATACCCAAACTGCCTCGTTTATAGAAGATTGCCGTGCACTTTTCGGACGACGTACTCATTCTGGACACCTGTACAACATGTTGTATAAACTAAACAATGTACATATAGGCAATATGTATGTATGTACGCAGGTCAAATGCACTGCAACTGGCTTTAGTAAGACGTTTAGATCTAAAAAATGTTAAGCAAGCTAGCAAACTCTACTCATTAGCCTTACGCATTTAAAAAAGCAAACGTAAAACTCCTCAATATAGACTAGTAGTATCTTTTACGGGTTCTAGTTTATCACATGCTCGAGCACATGGGCAATTGTCAGCCCAGTTTATTGGGATTGGCGTTGTTTCTATTCAATTGGAACGAACTTAAAATAGCAATTTCTTCAAAACTGCCTAATGCTTTTTCTTGGGCATGACCCATGTAGCCAACCCAAGCAGAAAAACGTCGTTCTTGTTTTCGACTTAATCCAGATAAATACATGTGGTTTTTCCATATGGCGTTTCGTACAGCATAAAGAGCTGTTCGTATTGTGAGGGGGATAATTATGCAGCGGCACTATCTTTACTGGCACGAAGATGACACTGAATCGGGCTGGTATGTTTTAAGCAAGCGCTACGTTTCTATCCCCTCATAAAAGAGCGGAATCATCTCAAATAGGACCGTTACGAACTTGCTTGGCTATAACGTTTTCAATACTATGTACAATCTACCCTATCTAATGATCGCACTGAAACCGCTGACGGCAATAAATAGTAGTAACTAACAGAGAACCAGCTAACGAAATAAACTTGATGAAATAAATGTTCATTTATTATTCATATATTTAAATTATAGTTTATTCTCAATCAGGCAAATATTCACGAAGTCGATATCAAAGTCAATATTATATTAAGATATCAAGGCTAAATATATTTAGGTCAGAGTTGCAATCGATTGTTTAATTGCTTACCAATCAACATACGATCACAACACTTATTGGGTGAACTTACAATGGGTGAACGTGATGTCTTTTGCAACGTTGTAGACTATCACTGACGTTCGTCAACATTTATGCAAATTGTAACATCTGTTATCACAACTTTATAGGAGAGCGTTTTCACGCACCAAATCGACGCTCAAATTTTTTGTATTGAAAGTGTCGAGCGACTCCTCTGTTTCGTACGATTTCGTAGGTAAAGCAGTTACTGCAAAAAGCGTGTTTATAATTGGTTACAACTGTGGGATCACACTTGGGTCCGTTGGAGAGTGCGATGCCTCAGCAAGAGAGCGCTGCTGTTACCCTCTCGCCTGTCATTTGGGCGCGTTCGCTCGAAACCAGTGAGCTGGATATCCTCAGGGAATTACTTCAGGGACACGTGAATTGGTCTTGGTTCAAAAACAGACGTAAGGGCTATTTCGTGATCTGCTAATGCTGAGCCATCAGTCGAAAGCAGCGCACACGATCGACCATTTCGATATACCTAGGTAGAGGCTAGCTGTAACAAGGTGCTACTGCCGTAAGCCATATAGATATAGATATTCAATCATTTAAAATGGTAACTTACAACTTCTTGCTGATGATAATTTATGACGCAATCCGCAAGTGATGCCGTCGGAGTTACGTAACTTTTACCAAGGTTTAAGCTGTTCACGAGCGCAATTGCATAAAGGAAATAAGGAATGAAATAAGCATATTTAGAATAGTAAATACCTCTCTATAGTATAATATAATTTAACTGTTAATTTTCTGAGCTTTAACAGTTTCTAGATATGCTGTACTACAATCAAACATGGAACTGTGTTGAAAAACCGACTCGTTGTAGATTGTCACTTATTTCACATATAACTAAACCAGCGGATCTGGAATGAGCGGTTTTCACAGACTGATTGTTTCGATCGCTGCTGTCATAATTTCTCAGAAACCCAAAAGTATGCGTGTTGAACAACGAACTCTAACTTTGTTTGATTTAGTTTATCATTTTTCATATGAAACAATAATTCATGGGTTCGTATTGGATGAATGAGTAACGGCCGGGTTGTTTTTGTCAACTATAGGACTTACTTAGATCAAGTATTTAACGCTACTCTTCGAATTCTATAATAACAGCTGATATAGTAGCGACCGTTCTTAGCTTATACTTCTCTCCGCATTATCCCCGATTGACTAAACTTAGGATTCTGGGCCTGCTCAGAGCGTCCTAAAGCGTCAATCGGTCGCCTCAGGGATGCCTTATAAAGAATCCTTTCATTTTTAGGGAAAGGGCCACAGCGCTGCCTAGCAAGTAGTAGAGCCACCGCCAAACACTTTATTTTGATTTGAAAAACTAACACGACGTATACATATACCTTAAGCTAAAGATATCTTTCAAGCAATCACTGAATACCATATCTGTTCATCTGTTAGGCTCAAAGTCTACGCATAGCCTTTGCATACATAATATTCGACAATAAACATGTGGTAATTGGAAGTATACTGTCGAAAGCCGATTTTTCCACGTTTATGGAATATGTTTGACTGTGTGGCTCTGCACGTAGAGAGGTTATGGGTTCAGCAGCAGTCACAGCAGCGAAGAAAGAAAAATGAACGTTGTCGATAGTTACTGAATTTTAAAGATAGTTCATTCCAAGGAACGGATAGTTGATAAGGCTGAAATGCAGATAATAACCTGCCCCCTTTAGAGCTACCTATTCGGAAGAATGTAACGATAGAAAACACAAATTCTTCTATTACACCTCAATTTTAAATAAGATAACAGAAAATAGTTTTACTTACTTAAGTTCTAAAAGACACGATTGTAGGGGGCGGCGTCGAAGTAGAAATGGTGTAAATTTCATGTAAATATTTATTCACACGGATACTTTTTGGAAGGAGGCTTTATTTACTATTAGTTCTAACTAGATTGATACTTGAAAAAACTTTCAAAATGTGTGAAAAGTGAAGTATTCACATTTCATACATTTCGAAAAAAACGTTGTATAACAAAATATTATGCATGAAAAGCCTGCATTTATTTCTGACAAAAGCTTATGATTCATCTATATGCTATTATAATTTCATGGAACGAAGCCCAATGAAGGCTTATTATGTCCAATAAAGGCAGATTATTCGACCGGAAAGTACAATGGGCATCGCCGATAACATGCTTCATAGTAAATGGCTAGTTCCAATGGACCCAGCGTCTGTTAATAAAACATACGCTTTCGGGCCTGAGATGTCGAGAGCAGATTTGGACTTACCACGCTTCAGTGTATTTACTACAGCAAACCGCTGTCGACTTCGTTTTCCCACGAGAAGGATAGTTTTATATAAAAACAGGCTTCTTTGTTATTGGCGTTTTCACACTCAAACGAGTAACAGTGAAATTCTAAAGAGTTTTTTCTCGAGTTGTCGGGGAAAATCAGCAGATCTAGAGGAGGGATGCAGTCATCAACTTCGAATTGTACGGTGCTATTATTGGCAATGATTTTCACCCAGTTGGTGAATGGGGTGACACAAAAATGTGAGGTAAATCGGCAGGTTGTTATTTTGTTTTGGCTAAATATTAAAACGAGAGGAGCCATTGACTTATCTTCTACCTGTACCGGTACATATTTACTGTATACACACTCGCCCTCCAGCCTACGTACGTTTTAGTTTATTGAATTTCGACACACAGCTGTTCCAGGGCAGGACGCAGGCATCTTACGAAGATACCAGTGGTCGTGTAAAAGTTTCCTAGGTAAAAACAAGGTTAATTATTGCATCGTCTTATCAGCATTACCCTTTGACGAGTCGAACAGCATCAACAGTTATTAACTGCTTTATTCACTAAAACTGTGCGGTATTTAGGTATCATTGGCTTGAAGTAGCGATCAATGGAGAGCGGGCCGTTAAGAACCCTCCGTCGATAAACTAAGCTAGTTATCCACATTGAGGTAACTCGTTGGCATTATTTCGCATGTCTCCTTAGTCAAACTTGCCACTGTAACTAACGCCCAATACGCGAACATTAGAAAAAAAAAAAAAAAAAAAAGAACGCACGATCGTGATTCTTAAAACTAAATGCTTTTTATCCTCTAAAACAATTAGAGAAAGGAGTACCAACAATGGGAGTTAAAAAACGATGCATGCATAAGACGATATCTAAGCTCCGCTCTTCGAACATATACATACAATTATGCCTACGTATAACAATACAGCCTCGATCTGTTGGTAACGAGTGATTTTTTACTCCTGATTTCAAAAACACTATAGCACAATTGTGACCTTTGAGCCACGGACAGACTACAAGACAGATGACTAATGGCGATGATTTGCTTATCACCATTTGCTAAATCTAAGCGGCGAGCAGCGTAAGAGCTTTTGTTCGGTCTGCCTTAACAATGCCTTCTTTTCGACCTTAACGTGCTTCCTCGCGTAGCCAAAACCGCTGTCCCTTTTGAATCAGTGACCGTAAAGAGGGCTTGCCGTCACCTTTCGTGAGAGCCATCAAAATAATTCTATCGGCCAGATATGCCATCGGCGCAATGAACGCTAAACAAAGCACAGTAATACTGTTTTGTTTATCTTATGTATTTATATAGGTAGATATCTCTCGTAGCTGTCAAGTGCTGCGTTATAGATAGGAACGCAAATATTGCCCTTCATAAATAAATCATTTATTGATAGAGCATAATCAGCGTAATAATAATCATCGTCAGGTACAGCAGTTCCAGCATGATAAGAACGTTTTATCAGACACTGATTTGAAGTTCTGCCTGTTGCTATAGGTGTTATGCTATACTGATTAGAACTTCAATAGAAATAGGCTGTTTCAAACAAGACATATGGAACGTTATTCGGAAGAACAAGAGCAAAATTATGTTACGACAAACGAACTCTTTTGCCTTTATGCATTGCTTCGGACCCTTGCACGAAACGAAGCGTATCTATCTATCTATGCGACACGCCTTCGTAATTTCCTAGAATATCTCATCTGTTCTTAAGTTTCGCAGGTAAACGTGTTACTACTTCACTGTTACAGACACCGTTTGAATTTAACGTTTCAGGCACCGTCTCGAACGTTTAGTCAATTTCTATTATAAACAATGGCAGGCCAGACAAAGCCCGAAAAAAGGTATTGCGACAAATGCTTGATATTGTTTCTTATTATTAAAATGTCTATTAATTTTTTTCGAACGGAATCAGAACGTCGAATAAGGACAAACTGATATACTCTCGAATCGTTCATAGAATGGTGCGGATAATTTTTTTTCTCTAGACAAAACATGCAGCCATGTCGTTAGCGTACCGCCGTTTCGATTTTGCATGTAGAACATTTCAGTGCCTCCTTTTCACAATTGACGTTCACATTAGCTTTAAGCGTCAAGGGAAACGAGTAAGTTCTTTTCGGCATCAACTTAACAACTGCCAACATTTGTATAGAATATTTCGCACAGAGTAAACATCAGATGTTTGGCTATTACTTTGGAAATCTACCCATCTCTCTTCTTCGCTGCGTTAATTTGCGGAAGATCACTCGAGTTACAATCCCACACCGAACGCAGCTGACGCAATCGGAACAAGTGAACTTATCTACTTTGTGCAGAAGTTTAGCGTAACCTTAGCCTTAAACAGCAGCTTTGAATAATAATTTATAATGACTGATGTTTCTATTCGCCAATGTAATTCGGAGGATTGATTTAACCGATGCCAATTTGATCCACCACGAACGAATGACTATCGTCACGATAAAAAAAAAGGGTACAATATATATAAGAATTGTGTCTTCACGCTGTGTTGTTACCTGGTTATAGGGGATGATATAAAGTTGTGCATTATTTGCGTACCTTAAGCTTCTCTTTTTTGTCGAAGTCGATTGTAGTTGAAACTAAAAATTATTATAACTTCTTGAGTTATATAATTTATAATAATAATAATAATAATAAATGAATATTACTGATCAAACATTCGAGTTGTGGCTGTTTGTTATGCAACGTCTACAGTCCTCAATGCATAGAAGTTTGTAAAAACTTCCGTAATGGCGAGCGAAAGTGTTTCCCTAATCTAACGTGATACGAGCAAGGCTACGTTTAACACCTCCTCAAGGCCTCAGGTGAAAACTTTCGTGTTTTTATTTTATAGTATAGATTTTTGGCGAAGTCTTGGTGGCTTGTCAGCGGCTTAAATTTCCATGACTATAAACCACCTTCGAAGCCGAAATTACCGTTCATCGTAGTCGACAGCCTGGCCCTATTAATGATTTAATAGCCTAATAGATACCTAATCAAATGAACGTGTTAGACGATCGCTGACAGGACATGTAGATCAACCCATGCGAGCTTTTCACGTACATGATTCTCCAACAATATATAACCTTTTTCTAAAAAGTCAGCGTAACAACAGCTTAGACCATAAGAACTGTTAGACAGGAAGGGAATGTGTCCTTCCTTTTTCAAATATGATGGCGGCTATCACTAGAATGTAAGCAAAAGATTAGGACATTTAGCCGCCAGCTGCAAAGTAAAGATACGTAAAA